ATAAAGATCGAAACGTTGGCACGATAAAGAAAATGTTTTTCTAAAATCTACGTCACCCCAGAGCGCATGTCACGGCCTCCAAATAATTATTATCTTATGTTGAAATTTCAATTTATTAAATAACTGTACAAAATTTTGGCCCTAGTTTCAATTATTGGATATTAGTGAGTATAAGTAATAATAAAACCTTTCGACCCAATCTTTGCACTGTTATTGACAAAAACATCTAAATATTTTTTTCTTACCGAAATGTAGTATACTTACATACTATTGTACAAATTCTACTGTTTTCACAATAAAAAAACATTAAATACATTAAATAATTGGCTAGGCAATGCATGAAAAAAGATGAGCCAGAGGATAAATAAAGGATAAATTAATTTGACCTTCTATGGGTATTAATTAATGAAATAAAGTGTTTATACACAGTGTAAACATATGTGCCCGCCACTCTACACCAATAACAAGAAAATACTAATTTTTGCTTAAGTCAGATACTTGGACAGGAGACTGACGTGACCTCCGCACACAAGATATAAAAGATAACAACTTAATTGTTGACTTGGAAAACTTGGAAGACTGTGAGGATCAGAATATGTTTTTCCTAGGAAAACACAACTAATGGCAGTATTTAGACCTATTTAAACATTCATACGGTATGCCTGAAAGAGTATGTCTGTGAATTCTCCAACCTCTTTACTACGGATCGTTAAATAATTGATCTTTTCACGCTTGTTTTTGTTTTACCCCAATCTTTTAACCCTACTTAACCATCTTCACTACCACCTATCCCAATAACTCTCCACGTCGCCTAAAACGACGATAGTCTCGTGCCCTCGCAAATTAATTCCTACAACTGACTGCCATTGTTGGCTGGTTTCTCTTTAATCTGTGTCCTCTGTAAGCAATGCTGACAATAGTGCAAATGTTGTGCAAATGTTGTGACTGGGAGAAACAAAAAGTATGCATGCACATATATTACATGTATATAATTGATAGAAAATATATCAAAAATGTGTGTGATCTGTAAATTATTTTAACGTTACAACAGACAGAGATATACAACAGGAAAGAGAAATTATCATTACATAGTCTTAATCGGCATTTTAAGCTTTTAAACGCAATTAAGATTCTTGTTAAATTCAGAGACAAAAATGAAACGATATTTATTTTAAATTAATTAATATTCGATGTATTAAAAATAAATGTTTTATTCGATATAAATATGTCTGTATGAAAACTATTAGCAAATCCAGGTCAAAATTCATTTTCAGAATCTTCGTTAGTCTGCATTTCTTAAACTGGTTTCGTTGAAGTTCGATCGTTGATGTAGCTAATAATACTTTACGATTCTGTAAAATCCCACTAGAAAGATGCACTAAATTAGTATGGATATTTTTTTTAACATTTAAATATATTCTAGATTTTTTGTGTTAATGTTTTAAAAAACCAATTAAAGTTATTCCTGCACACTGGAGAGCTTAACGTCTAACTTTCAACAAATTAATTGGAATAATTAATATGGTTAATTACGACCACTAAACAAATATATTTAAATATGTATTGACAATCAAATTTAAGCCACCAATCGATAATTTTGTAATTTATTTTTATATTGTAAACTAATTTTCTAGCACATGGATCGGCATGCGAGTAAACATCGTATTGACTTGGAAAAATTTCAAAGAAATCAAATGGGGATATTGCTCTATAACGCAATAAAACTGATAAACGTAGTTTTGGAAGTACATACGTATGGTGGTATCCAAAATTATTCGTAAATTCTATTTGTACAGTTACTTCAATTCTTCAAACCGGCTTAACTTATTAGTTTCCAAGAAAATTTACCAATATATATAACACATATTTTAGAATAATTAAAAATAAAGACATATTATATGGGGGGAACTATTTCACTACATATTGACCGCATAAACTGTATTTTTTTAACTTAATTTATTTTTAACTACAACTGTATAAGTATTATATATAAACAGCAAATTCGATCTCTACCCAGGTCAACCCCATTGGCAGCCGCTCTGGATTAATAATATGATGCTAAACATTCAAGAGAACTCTTATCCATACTATTCATAAAGCAGTTTTCAGTATTATAAAATGCAAAACTAACATTTGCTATTTAAAAAAAAATAGGTATAGCTTTGTGAGTAGAAGAACTTATTAAATAAAATTAACTAATGAAGTTTCATCCTGGCCTGTGGAACCTAATTTGGTTTAGGGTTTGGTCGTTTTCATTGGCCGACCCGTGCTCTTGCACATGCATCATTAAATCATGTGCTAATTGATAGCAGGTTATATAGCCCATGACTAATTATAATTTTAAAATGAAAAAGATATTTTTCAAAACAAAATTAATTATACAGTTACAATGTTTATTAAGTAATTTTGTTTTAATCAACAGATGAAAATTGTACTGCATATGATTTGTTTTCTGTTTTAAACCCGGGCTATTTTTTTTTCTAAATTTTCCACCCTTGCTTTCTTCATCCTTCGCTGATTTTTCGCTTAGCATAAGAAGAGATTTTATCATATTTTTTAACTATTTTCATCGATATTGCAATAAGAATTCGTCGCGCTTAAACCCTACCGTGCTCTACTTCACAGCCGCCCGTTAAAAATTGAAGATGATTATCTTTTCTAATGCACAATACAAAACTTCTGCGAGATGCGGACAAATCAGAACAAAATTTCATTATATTCATCATGAATTATAAAATTTCATAAGCAATCGCCCGTCTATTAAAATCCGTGGGTAGAACATTGTTAATTTTTTTATTGTTTAAACAATATATGCCATCAACTGACTAATGAGGATCAAAATTTAATCTATTTTTCACGTATAACTTCAAAATTTATGCTAATAATTTGTACATTATGAAAAAAAAGTAAATAAAATTGCGTCTGTTTGATGTATTATTTCACAGTGAAATTTACTTCTTTTTTGACGCACTTCGATATAGGTAACCAGCCAAGCAGAAATTCGAACAATGGATAAGAAATTGACTTGCGATTACAATTTCTAAATGAACCGTTTCTGGATCAATTTTTTTATGTTTTATTATTGTTTAAACAATTTTCTTCTTGCAAGAGTTTAGGTCTGAATCTAAATGATTATTTTGCTAATTCAGTCTGTCGGTTACGACTGGTCGAGCACAATCACGTCTTTCGTTGTGGCCTGCAAACTTATCCCCGGCTCAGCAGGCCGCCGAAGAAATCTGGCAAAGCTCCATTGTCGCAATCTAACAGACAAAAAGGAAATCCGTTTTCTCTCTCTCTCTCTCTCTCTCTCTCTCTCTCTCTCTCTCTCTCTCACACACACACACGCACACACACACACACACACTTTACAGCACTACTTTCCTTTTCCTTGTTGTGAGTGGAAGTGACAGTAGGCCCATGAGTAAAAATGAAAGAAGGAAATGTCAAGTTACAATGCACGAGCTGTCATCACGCTACGCAACAAACAATTTACAGTCTTTAATTGTAAACGAAAGTTTTCACCAAAAATAACGATTAAAACAAAAAATCTTATTTATTATGAATTTAAATTAATTTAAAGAATCTTTATTAGCCCCCCAAAAAAGTTTGATCTTTTGTATAAATTACGACGGCAATTAAAGAGATCTCACTGCATATACTTACATAACTATTTTCCTGTTCAGTTTAATATGAAATATATACAGTAGATTTGCACATCAAAAATTAAATGATTTTTTCTCAAGTAATGAAACATTGAAAGGTTTTATAATCACAGCATACTGTGTTAGGAAAAAAATAGCATTTAAAACATCTAAAAATTTGTTAGCTGATTGAACCGAACTCGACATGTTATACCTTCTATAAAGTATCTCACAAAAGTAATCGGAAATCGCTCTTTTTTCTTTAAAATATTACGCTACACTTTTAGAGCTGTCTAACTTTTTAATTAATTCTTAATATGTAAACTTCTGAAAATTATTTTTAAAACTATTAGAATTAATAAATTAGTTATGGAAATGTAAATGTTGATATAGTCATAAAAGTAATCAGAATCAGAGTTCGTTTACAGATTTTCTTTTAGTTTTCTCGTATTTATCGCCACAATTCCAGTCTATATTTCTCATTTAACCGTATGGCCGTAATTTGTATTAAAAAATGCCGCAAAATACGTTTTTTAGAATGGAATGAATTGAACTATATATAAATAGTATTTATTGAAAAATTATACTCTATAATATAATTACAGGTACTAACGTTTTCAAGTAAAATTTACTAGTCCCAACGAAGAAAGTTGTTAGATCATACATTTTTCAATCATCACCTGTAAAATGGTTATACAGTTACCTTACCTTAAAAATTTAAATAAAAAAATGGACTTGTCTTTATTTTGTCTCTATTTTTATATGTGTTTTGAACTGCAACTATTCCTCCTTTATTTTATCTAAATATCTATTTAGCCGAATAAATAATACATAATACAAAAAGTTTATTAAAATAAAGAAATCCGTTTGATGTACCTGTTAGTACTAATAAAAACGTTATTGGTAAGAGTGTGTTTTACTTAATTCGTGACAATGTATGAATATTGTTTTTTTTTTAAAACCTAATCTATACATTTTTCTTGATCAGCCCTTTTTTATTTAACATTTATTTGTCTTGCATAAAACGTCGGTTGAACTTATTCCAATGATCTTAACGATCAATTTGTTATTTACCAAATTAAATACAAATTTTATTTAAAAAAGAAAAACGTATTATCTAAACGGTATTGTACAATGAATTGAAAAAGGACATATTGCGGCGATTATGCGTAACGTTATATCCGCTATTAGCCTAGACAAGTCGGTTATAGATATGGCTATAATTTTTCCCTCAAAAAAGAAAGGTGCTTTGTGTGGTTTACTTTCATCCGTTTGGTTTGTATCATTAAGCCGTTGCAATGGTGCCGGCCAAAAAGGCGGGGAGTAGGGAGTCGACGATACGCTGTATATAAGAGACACCTTGTCTCCAGTCCGCTGACAGTTTCATCTTTGTTAGTGCTCCAATCAGTGAAAAGCGAGCCCAACATGTACTTTTTGCTCAAGGTAACGACCTAAATTCAAAATGACTTATAGTAAGATGCTACACTTTATACTGGTCTTATTAAAATTTATCTTCTTCGTGAATAAAATTTTTTTCTTAGCATTTTTATATACTATAAAAATAATAATAACTCAATAAATTGAATTATTTAAATGCAGAATATCAACTTTAGTGCTCATGAAGTTATTTTCTATTTTCATAAAGCAAAACAACTGAAATTATTCACTAAATTAGAGGTTTTTAGTTATATTATATATAATAATACAAATCATATTATATTATACTCAACACTTTTTTCTATATGCTTGCGGTTTGGTCAACAACGTGTAGTGAAGATCGTTGAAAAGAAAAAAGAGCCATTCATAAATAAAAATAAATTGGAAACAAGTAACCTAATTGAAGTAAGAATAATTAACTTAAATGTAAATCTTTATACAATTGCGAATAATGAATGTTCGAAAAGAGTATATACTTTATTACAGTCAAATATTCACTTTCCACTATTTGGGATTTTGTAACTGTAAACGAACCCAAGTGTAAACCTCATATTTAACCTAAAATGGTACATTCCTTCAAAATGTGAACGTCATTCTCCGGAAAACGCCATATAATGATATAACGTGATGTAATATAACCAATTCTCACCTTGACAGGAAATGGCAGAGTTTAAATCCTATCTAGATTTAATAATTAATACCGAAGAGCTGATAAAAAGAAACAATTGAAGTTGTCTCACTGAAAATTAAATGCCCCAAAATGTCTTCTTTATAAAAATTTAGGTGTGCAGAAGTTTTAAACATAATTCAAGCACTCTTCGCGGTGACTTATACTTTCAGTGAGTGTTTTGAGATGCCCGTACCAGTATGAAAAAATATTCGTTGTAAGAACCTATAGAATGTTATACTTTCGGAATAAGAGATTATTTTTGCTTGTCGTGGGCTATTTCAGAGCAAACCCATACCGCGACCCACGGTTAAATTATTTGTTTTTAAAACTATTAAGTGTGTTAGAGGGTACTCTAAAAGCTTTTATGGGCCCTTCGTTTCAGAAGAGTTCATAAGGGACAAGGGGTTACGTTTCGTTCTTTTCTGTGTTATTTTTATATGAAGTTGGTTCCATCTAGGGAAACAACATTCTTATACCTATTTTAGTCTTCCTGGAGAATCGGAGCTTCATTTTATAAATAAATATGTTACTATTATTCGCTATATACCGCTATATTAATAAGAAGATGAAAGAATAAATCAAGCGTAAATCTGTTGACGTTTCAAAATAAAGTAAGCAATTAGATGTAGCCATAGTGGTGAAAACAATTTGGATTGAAAAACCGGTTTCATATTTTCAAATTCTCTGAAAGCCCCACGTCTGACAACCATTGCAAAGCATTGATCGACATGTAACATTAAATAGATTTAATTTGACTTTAGTAGGCACATTTTTGTCGTCTATCTTTTTTGTATAGCTTATTTAGCAACAGAGACGTTATGATCAATGTGTTTGTAATATGAGAGGCATAAATAGAGTTGACACGAAGATACTTTTATTTATTCATTCCATCAACCCTTTCAAAAGCAAATTCTACCTTCAAGTATAGAAGACATCGTATATAAAGTTTCCAGAAAGATAGGGCTCAATAAGCAACCCTGTCTGACATCACTTTGTTATTTAAAATATTCTGATGAACTTGATAATGCATCCCAAATTAAGAATCCAAAAAACCCAAGTTACTTAACTTAAAATTAAACCTCATAGTCACCCCTACCAAAAGCAGCCTTTAAATCAACAAAGCAGCAATATACTTTTGTTTAAGTTTAGCCAATTGGATTTTAATTATACAATATTAACCAAATAGAATAAATCGCATGTAGAAAATTTTTTCTAAAACTCGTTTGACATAGGCTCAGTTAGTTAAAACTATAGTTAAAAGTTATAATTTTTATAATGTAACGGATTTTTTTCAAGACATGATGATGGGTATAAATTCGCGAAACGTCCAAAAATATTGATATGAAAGTGAAGCGGAAAATTAAAAAAAAAATGATAAAAGTTGAAAATTAATTTTTGTGGGTCAAGCTAGGATATTCATGCAGTTTTCAGTATTACACCATTACGAATCTAAATTACAGGCACTCTACATCCAATTGGTACGACTCAGTCTCATATAAATGAAATAATATTTCGAAATATTAAAAGCAAAACACGTTTTTATGTCATCAATGGCCATAAAGAATATGGATCCCCCTACATACACATACACGAGTAAAATATATTTTCAAACGGCTTTTCTGTTACTTTCTTAACACGAAAGAAAAAAATACCAATTTCTATTTGAAAGCCATTATATCATTCTTAAAGGTTAAGCTAATTGGTCCGTTGGATTGAGAGTATTGACCGCAACCAAAGACAACTTGGTTTTTTTATGTTATATGGCCAATTCCCTCGGGTTGGTGAAACTGTCCTCGATTCACCAAATACTCCTTTATAACATTTACAAATTTATTAACAAACACAAACATTCAGATTCAATTATCTGTGGTAAGACATACATATATACTCAGGGATACTGAAGACGTCTTCCTTTCTTTTATTTGTCTTATCACAACTCAAATAAAAGGACGAAGAAAAAAAAAAGGAAATTTGATTTAATTTCACATAAACATTTACTTCAAAGGTAGATTGAAATAATTGTTTGTATTTAAGAACAATAAATAAATTCTTAATCTTCCAAAATTTGACAAACTTTTGCACATAAAAATAAAGTAATGAACACATATTTTAGTGCTTCGGTTAACTATTATAATAATTTTTTTCAATTAATTAAAGCTTTTAGTTGAGATAAAGATATTATTTGGTCAAGCGGACCACGAAAATTAATGAATATTATAATAATGTTAACTGATGAATGATAAATCTATAACGATATTAGTGTCATTTTAAATATTTTAAACAGAAGTACTTCTTGCTTTTATTACGCCAAAGCAAAAAAAAAAATATATATATAAATAAATTACTTAAAATCCTTGAATTAAATCGTCTAAAAAGTATTATTTACCCTTTTTCCAGGTTCATTTATAACAGGGATCATACTATTTTGTGCAACATAATGTCATCGACGTTTACTAATCGTAGGATTACTAATAATCTTTTCACAATTATAACTTAGTATGTATTGTCTATATGAAATTTTAACATTTATCATAAGGGACATACAAATCTCACAATCAATAAAATATTTCATAAAACATAACAAAAAACTAATAAAAACATATCAATTATTAAACAAAAGCTTCCTGGTTATTTATTCAGAAATCGATTAACGGTCACTAATCTCTACACCTTCCTGGTTATGTTGATCAGTACTTTCATAGCACCTTTACTTTAATTTTAATTACTCATTCTCTCCCATAGAACATGGAACTTCGATGCTTTCCCCTATATTTCACGATCAATCAATGCTCTGTATCAGCAGCGTACAAAGCAGAGACACAACAATTTATAATGAATATTTCCTCGTTAATTTACTTTATAAATTTCCCATGATTTCACTGATTATCATTTCTTTTTGACAATTAACGGACGAAAAACATTTCTCGACATTTCCTTTATGAGAGTTACCTTGTAGATTACGCATCAGCTAAATAGATAGAGATAGAGATAGATAAATAGATGGATACGATAGAGAGAGTGAGTAAGAAGGGAGAGACGGCACATTATACGAAAGTTTAAGTGCTAAAGATACAATTCCTTACGATTATATATAGAAAAAAAAAGAGAGAGATAGATAGAGAGTGAGTGAGAGGGAGAGGGAGTAAGAAGAAAGGGGGAGGGAGTGAGTTAGAAGGGAGAGAAAGAGAGATAAGTAGATTATATACATAAATAGATACATAGACACCGAGAGAGCGAGGGGCGTGAGAGGGCGAGAGAGAGAGAGAGAGAGAGAGAGAGAGAGAGAGAGAGAGAGAGACCATTGATACAGTATTAGCTTCATTATAACATTATTCCGATCCATCAGAGAAAAAAACAGTCCATTTTGGTTTTACTGTAACCTTTCTTTCAAACAATATTCGATTTTCATAGGTAATGAACTTTGTTGTTACTGCGTTTGAAAACTCTGTTTCTCTCTTAAAATAATTTTATCAAAATCCTTTATCAGTGATACCAGATAATTATCTTTAATTCTTGTTTATCCCTTGTGTTAATGATATATTAGGAACGATGACATTTTTTTTACAGTTGGTCGTTTTGTTGGTTCTTGCCGCCGTCGCACTTGGGGGCGAGTACAGTCATCATTACGGCGGAGGCAGCGGAGGAGGCGGTGGCGGTGGCGGAGGGCATGGACATGCAACATCTCACCAAAACTATGTTCTTCATAGTTATGACCCAGTTCCGGTGTACTACAAGAAACATGGCCACTATTAGACACCATTTCCTCATATTTCGCTCACAAATCAACGTTTCCGATGTCATAAACCCATTGTAATTATTAAACAGTATTGTAACATTTTGCAAATTTGAGTTTCATTTTCGGCCACGATAACCTTGATATTTTTTCCTCTAAAATTCACTTGGAAAAATTTGATTATATATTATCTAGTTTTTCTACTTACATCCCGCCAAAAGGCATTGAACTTCAACCAATTAATTATGGTTTTCACCACTTTTAAAAACAAGTCAAAATGAAATCTGTATTGCATAAGACATTGTTAAAGCTTAAAATACACTATAACTTTATTTACAAATCTTATTTGCATTATTTTGCCCGAAATTGCATGAAAAGAAATATGATGAGTGACTTAAAAAGTACAAGTAATAATAACAATAATAGTAACACTTTTTGATTCTTCTTTTCTTCATTATTGTTATCCTTTTTTAATTTGCATAGACGAAACATTTCTTTTTGTACCTTATTTTGAAGAAGTTTTTAAAAAATAAAAATTACGATTTTTTGAAGTTTTGGCGATCCTGTGCTGTTTTGAAGATGTACATTTTTATTTTTGGACATATTTATGATTTTACATTATTATTGGTAAATATTTAATTTATTTTTATAATTAATAATAATATTTTCATTACAAAAGCATAAATAAATTTGAATCCATCTTCAAAATGGCACACTTCGAGACGTCGCAAAATCATAATTTCTATTTCTCAATACCGTCTTCGAAATAAGGCCTACCAAAATCAAACTTTTTTATAACAAAAAATTGGTCTTATACTAGAATCCAGAATATACTAGAAAAAAGAATCCAAATTGTAATATTAGCATTGGCACGAGCGTCTGCTTTCCTGATATTACGTTACAAGTCCCTTAAAGTAAAGACGGTCTTTGTTTGTTAACAACATCAAATTTAAATGGTGCACTGAAAAAAGGGATTTCTTTTTGGTAACCAAAGTGGAGCTGAAGGATATCATTAATAGGGGGACTTTTCGGATACCACGCAGAATTTCGCTCATACCCCGGCCCAGAGAAACCTTTTCTTCAAGTACCACTACCAACCAACAGGACGTCATCGTGCAACCGGACACCAAACTCCAAGACTTGAAAACAAATCGTCTGCCGCCAAATCAGAAATAAAAGTAAAACCTGTTTTAGTTTTGTATCTTTAAATGTATATGGTCTAAAGTCTAAAATTATAGACCCTTTATTTTTACGAAGGCAAACAATGTTTTCGGTTTATTTGGAACCTTTGTCACCTCAGAAAAGCATGTCTATATTCAATTATTTTATGATTATATTTTAATCCCGTTTTAAAAAATAAAATATTTGGTCTTTCAGGTGGTTGTTTCTTTGCAATAAGAAAATGTTTAGATAAACAGATTTTTTTTTTAAATTGGAGACCTGGTTTAATTGTCATGACAGGTTACATTGGTATTTTTTATTTGGGGCAGTGAACGCTATCAACTACTTGATTCAGTAAATGATAAAAGTAAACTCTTACGTGCTTTACCAAAATAGGACCACCATTTTGAAAAACAACCAAACTTTGATTTCGAAAATGCTAGTGCAAACACTAAACATTGAAAAAAAAATACAAACGCAACTTTCTAGGAATGGTTTACATCAACAGATACATACATACAGACTATTAACACCGAACAGATACATGCCATCATAAAGCAAATAAGCCATTAAACTTTTTTTTATATTTCCTTTTCCTTCGTTACCGTCCATAATAATTAACTTCCTTTCCAGTATTGAATAAAACCCGAAACATAAATCCAATACAGAAAATCCCCATTCGCGACTTCCTCTGGGTCAAATAAAACCGCCAATGATCAAAGAAAATTTCCCAGATTTACCGCGAACCCCACCCTGTGAGAATGCCAAACACATAGCAAACATAAATACAAAATAAAAATACTAAACTAATACAAAATACAGAAGAATACAAGTTCACAACAATTTTACATAAAACCAATATGACACTACAAGCACACTTTATGTTAGTATGAAATTCTTGGTTCAAAATTTATATTTACACCCATGTTGTATTTTTCCAAACAACATATGTTATGTAATTCCCTGAAGAGGGCTCGAATAAAGGTCGAAACATTGGCAAAAAATGAAAAAGCTGTTTTTCTTAAAATACTTTATTCCTGACCGCTCCTCACGACTTCAACAAAATATTACTTTAATTATTGAATCTGCAATAATGTTTAGTTTTTCGTTTAATTTTGTTTGTAATTTGAAATACAGTGTTAATTTATTTGTATATTTCATTTTATTATTATTATTACATTATTCTTGCGTAATAACTTTTCATAGCATTAACAACAAATACGAGCCTTTACTCGGTAAAGAGACTGTCTTTTCTTTGGTGTATATTTAATTTTGAATTTAAATTACCTACATATTTACAGGATTACTTAAAATTATAAAGAGTAAGAACATAGAGGTTGTATAATTGATACTTAAATTAATTTGAGCATGAAAGCACACAATCCTATTAAAACAAAAATAAAATAAAATAATTTGTACCAAAATTGTCTTATAGATAAAATAAAAATGATAAGTCAAGGTCACTTTACTTTACACATCATCCTTTAAGTTGGAAATCCCATAATACAATCTATAGCTTTTACAAAACGTTTAGGGTCTCGTTTTGGATACGTGCGTAGCGAGCTGAAATCTATGTATTGTATTGTTTCTAACAACTTCCCGCACGTTGTGTAGTGTAGATATTTTGAATCGCTTAGCTTTTTCGCAACTTCGAACTGGTGGTTGTTCATGAGGTCTTCGTTGATGACAGCGAGCAGGGGTTTTTCAAGCTCGAGTGTTTCTAGACAGCTACCTGCACCTGCATGGCTAATAACAAGGTCGGCTTCAGCAAGGTCTTGTTGTATGGAATCTTTAAATCTGTAAAACGAGATCTGGACACCCTCCATCATTGAGTCTTCAGGGGTAAAAACTCCATGGCCAATTTGCAATTTGAGCTTCTTGCAACCAAAGCCTTTAAGTACCTTAAAAAGAAAAAAGAACATATAACATACATAAATATGTAGATACAATACATATCTACTCTGTAGATACAATACATATCTAGAAATACTTTGCTTGAATGTATAAAAAATATATTTTGCATTGTATAAATTCACTTTTCCACATCCAAAATGTAAGTGTTATATGTAAACAATGTTTGTAATCCCAGGCCCTGAAGATGATCAATATAAAGATCGAAACGTGGCACGATAAAGAAAATGTTTTTCTGAAACCTACATCACACCCGACCGCATCTCACGATTTCTAAATAAACAATACATATCATTTACTATAAAATACTTATATTCATCATATATATACTACAGGGTGTAATAATTCATTCACTTTAAGGTGCAATATGTTTTAAGCAGTTTGGTCGTTTGCAAATTGTTGAACAGAGATGAATCTTCAGTTTGATCTCTCTGATTAACAAAGTTCACCTGAATTAACAGAAACATTCTTAAAAAGTGAACAGTTAGAATATATAAGTATGATTAGGGATGGTATTTCAGAATATTAACAATTATAATAGCCTCTTTCAATTTGAACCACTCCCTGATCATAAATTATTGTGAATGATTGGTTGATAATATTCTCCGACTGACAATCAAAATAGAGATAAATAATAATAAATCTTTATTTGTAATGATGTACATTACATATAAATTACAAAAATTTTTTTTGAGCATCCCTACCTGTTATCAAAAAGCAATGCTTGTACTAGGCAGCAGGAGTTTTTTATTTTATTTTATTTATTTTTTAATTTTTATTTTTATATACCTTTACAAAAGGATAACGAAAAACATACACTTAAATTAACAACAACAATTAAACAAACAAAAACAGAATAAACATGTAGTATGAGAAAAACCAACCAAATTAAATCTTGACTTTAAAATATCTTAACTACAATTTAAAATTGTAAAATAAAAAAGTCCCTATTTGCATTATGGTCGTTCCTGATCAATCTAATCTTCCTATTCTAGCTGATTTTATTTGTCAGAAAGCAGTATGCTATATCTGGACAGATTTACCGAGCAAAATGATGAAGTATCTATAATGTTCATTTTGACATCTTATTAAATGATGGGTTAACAGAAAGATCAGAATGAAAAAGTAAAGTAAAATTATTGTCAAACAGGAGGGCATTCACATGGGGGTGTTAAAATAAGGGCTGGACTACTTTGCAATATTTTTTCAAAATATTCTCAAATAAAATGGTTCTTGGGCTAACCAATCTTACTTATTTGTATCCTTTCACTCCAATATTTTCATTCCTCCATCCTCATTCTGGCCGGAATAATCCCGAATTCAATAAAACCATAGAACAAGATCTAACATCTCCTCTATCTTTCACTCCTTCTCAAAAACAATTTCTTCGCAATGAAGTATCCTACATCATAAGCCATCTACCACTAAAGAAGGCTGTTGGTTTCTACCTACTGACTGCAAAAATCCTTCGACACCCACCTAAAAGTGCTGTAGTTTTCGTGAAGATCACACCCTGCACTCCTCAGTCAGTCAGATGATCATGTGGTGAAAAATGCAATATATACAAAATGACATTATATAAATGTAAACATGTCACTCTCATCTTTCAAAGAATAACCATTGCTCCCATCTACTACAATAATATCCCTCTCCTAGAAGCTAATGTTATCCCTACCTTGAACTTACATGGAACCCACACATGAGCCTCAAAAGTCAAAAATACACGACTTCTTAAGTGATGGTTGGACAAATGACTCATTTATTTCACTATTCTGAGATTCATTGGTACATCTTTGGGGTTGAACCAAACATTCCAACCTATAACGTATCAAATCTATAAAATCCAAAATTAAAATGACTGTAAAATGACCACAAGAAGATTCACAAAAAATTATACTGTCACACAAACCCTCATTTCAGAAACCTTTCCTCCTTCTCATTTCCAGAAAATCCCTTCCGATGAAATGTAACTGGCCTTGTGACCTCTTAAGTGCCAGTAGGAATGATTAACACCACTGGTGCAGAGCAAAACACATAATAATATTAAGAACCAACACCCACCATAACTACTATTGAGTATAGTTATTCCATTTTTTAAATTTTATTTTTGTTTCTTTTATTCTAATAGAATTTACATGTAACAACAAATTTAGTTAAGTGCAGCAATTTGTGTAGTGGTAAATAAAAAAAAAAAAAAAATAGGGATATGTCAGAATTTTAGGAAAACAGGAGAACTATTAGCATGGCAGAGAAAGCTGCCCTAACAATTCCTCTACCGTATTGTCTGACAGATCAGTTTACATTTTTATGATCTCAAAAAAATCTCACAATGTGTATGTGTTTTTTATACTTTGACTGACACTCAGACCAGATTGGATCTGTATCTCTGCATATGATTGAATTAAAGTGTATAATTTACCTAACTACTGTGTAATGATAACACATGATAAAACAACATTTTGTTACAAATACTTTTTGTATTTGATGAAAATTGATGAATTTAAAGCTGATAAAATGAATAATTTTATAACAAAGATGGAGGTGTACAAGAACAATAGTGTAAAGATAGAATCAGGCCTCGAAGATCATTTAATTCTGTTTTAATGAATTGTTTATATACTTTGAAATACATTTATTTAACCTCAATTTAATCAAAGAATTCATTCATTCAATGGAACATAAACATTGGTCAAGCATTGACAGCTAAAACATATAAATACGTTTACCTTCAGGGTTCTTGTATCCAAAATCGACTGGATTAACGTGTCGAATTTCGTTGTCCCGACTGTCACGAATATGTTTTCCATTTTTCTAGTAGTCAATAACATTTTTTTAGACGAAAAAACAACTTTGAAATAGTAACGTGTATAGAACACTTATAGCGGAAACCTAGATGAAACCTTCCATTTTCTTATCGTGGTTATCGACCTGTGCACGTTTCCCGCCATCTAGTTATTTGCATGTATTGTGTTGATACTTGATGCTTCTCGGGTTTTATTATTAATTCAAAATCCCTCGAAATATTCCTTTGCAAGGTGAGTTTATGAAACATAAAGTCCTACTTGTTTTAGTTTATACTGGAAAGCCTCTTATTAATATTGTTACGATTGGGCAAAAGGTCATTGTTAGGTTGTTGCAAACCTTCATTGAGTTGATAAATCTTGTTTGCATCACCATGAAAACAGCATCATTTCCTTCATATCTATTACAGTGGTACATTTAATTGAGTACTTTAACAATATACCTACTGTAATGGAAATTATCTCCGGTTTCAATATTTTATGAGTTTATCCAGCCAAAGATGTTATAGCTTTGGTGGATAAACTCCATACAATGTGGAAATCTAAGATAATTAAAATTTCAATGCTAGCAACCGAACATCATCATCATCAAAGGAATATTAATATTTTTCTCATACCGACTCAAGCTGGCATCCACAGGATGATACTGCAAGTTTTACTTCTAACTTGAATTCTATCAAAGCAAACTCCAATATTCAAGAACACCTTCAGTTTATTGAAGATTGGTGCAAAGTGGAGGACAAGACTGAATGAAGAAAAATGTACTCAGTGTTTGCTCACATTGGAAAAGCAGCCTTACTCGCCAATGTACATCAACAACAAATGATTTCCATTCAAATAAAATACTTAGGACTATACCTAGCCATTGTTTTCCATATGTACTCATTAGTGTTAAATAGTACATGAGGATAATTAATGTCCGCACCTAGCTCGTGGCCTTATCGGGTTTTTTGATTCTCAAGGTGGGAAGTGATGCACCTCTGCTTACGGGTTGGTGTTATACCCACAAGCTTGGTGTAGAAACCCGTTCAGGTCCCTAAGGACCCAGACAAGCTTACCCACTTGCTCCTTCTAAGGGGGGGGGGGTGGCATCCACCACCTGAACATGTGCCACATAGCAGTGAAATGCATCAGCCAGGTTTCCAGATATACTTCGAGTTACAGAAGGTAACTCTATCTAGGTGTAAGGGTTCTTCTAGCACACTTAGACAACATACAGAATGTAATCCCCACAAAAGACATTATTTTTATTTATTTTTTAATGGCCTTATGAACTTTGCATATTAGCCACGGAATGTGATTATATATATGCATGTGTGTGGCCGATTTTTTTTTTAGGGGAAGGGTTGTGTGAAGATAAGGGCCAGGGGCTTCGGTGGGGATTGAACCCATGGCCGCAGGGTCTACAAGACGAGAGTCTATCACGATAATCATTCAGCTGCCTCCACACAAGACAAAAGGCAACAACATAGTAGGTGATTAGACAACCACGAAGACTTCTAGGACCGAAATATGTCTTGACCGTCCAAATAAACTAACATTATACAAAACTTCATTGTGATCATTTTGGACACAGGGATTCTGCCAAGCCTTCCAATATCCAGCGCATCCAATCCTTAGTTCTTAGTCATCAATGAACAGTTAGTTCTTAGACTAATTGTCAAAGCTTCTTATTATCTCATTAACCACAATAGCCTCAACGACCTTAACATTTGTCAATGAACTGATCTATTCCCAATTCCAAAAGTTTCACAACAACCTCTCAATCTATCCTAACTCGAGCCCTCATCCCTTACATTTTCTCATGGCTTGTGTCCTCCAGATGCAGTGCTGGCATTTGGCATTAGTGTTAGTGCTGTGACTGTGTGAAAAAATGTACTGTGATCACATTTGAAATATATACAAACAAGTATAGGCTACTAATAAAAAAAAATATAAATAAAAAAAGTAAAAAAAAAAATTAAACCTACATTTTTAAAATAATATTCAGTTAAGTAGCATTCTGTTGTGTTCAAAAACTCAACTAATAATTATAATGTAGAAAACACTGATTGGAATGTACTAGTTACAATAAAAACAGTACTATTCAAGTTATATCTACCACAATTGTACATTTAAATTCACTAGCTTTCATGGTCCGCTTGACCAATTAATATCTTTCAATTATCTGAGATAATTATTATTTATCTCAACTAAAAACCTTAATTAATTGTACATTTAATTCAGTGCTATATAGATCTATCATTCTTTGGGAATATTTTATTATAATGGCCATTAATGGAAATGCAAATACTTGTCTTCCCACATAACTCAAGTATCGAGTATAAGTGAAAATACATTGGATTTTTGGAACATTGGAAGTTTAGTATTTTCTGTTAATACTAGTTACTATTTATCGCATGTTTGTTTGGTCACAAACAAAACGAATGTTACATTGTGTTGAATGGAATATTCTATTGAGGGGTTATTACCATAGCAGAATCACTAATGGCAATTAATAAAAATAAATATTTACTTTACATCATATACATTTTAGTTGAGTCATTATCACCTCAGATTATTCAGGCCTACTCTCCCAAGTTTTATCGTCAGATGTGTTTTGGCATTTTACTATCTGCAAAATTTGCTGCTGCTCATTCATGTTAGACATCACCATAATAGTTCACAATTGATTTTGAAATTCTGTAATCTTACATTTCAGAAAATTAACTAAAATTTTTCACAAAATATTACTATAGGTCATAATGATTTGGTAAAATTATTAAAAAGGCTAATTCCATGTTGGGGAGAATTCTTAACAAGCAATAAACTTACTTTGATAGGTGGTTCAAAAGGCCAATTTACAATTTAGTGTTAAAATACATTCTGTTACGATTTCAAAAATTTGTCCCAGTTCGAAGTTTAAGATTACCTTTATACTAAACAGTTATTTTAATGCTATTATTCATTTTATTACAAAAATAAATCAAGTAAGTTTGAAGTCGCTCCTTTCTATTTTTTTATATTTTTTATAGAAAGTCTGACGTATTTTATTCACCATGGAAAATATGCCAATATCCTCAACTGAGCCAGATGAACTTTCAACTTCTTTGGTTTGTTGAATGTAAAATAAATATGTGTATGTTTCATTGTGGGATATAGTTGAAATTGTTCATCAGTTTAAATAATGCATGGAAATATCAAAAATAATGTAGTTCGGTCTAGTTTGAAAGAACCTTTTACCAAGGTAATATTTAAAATAAATAAATGAAATAGACAGTGTTGTTTACAATTGTAAAATTGAACTGTGGCAGAAACTACGTACATATAAATTTAAATGCACACAAATAGTGTTGTAGTCTAAAATCCCTAAATATATACAATTGTACAGTTATTTTGGTATGGTCATGTGTATATATATATATATGTGTGTGTGTGTGTGTATATATATATATATNTATATATATATATATAATAAAACAAAAATCTGTGTTTAATATTCGCATGGGCATAGTAGCGGGTTGGTTTTATTTGTGAACGGTGATGGAATTATTTTACACATTGTTTTTATTGATGACTTGGTTACTGCCAATCAATGACATTTGGAGTTAATCTGTTCTGTATATTCACATGTACATATATGTATTGAGTAATTTATCCGCATACAAATTTACTTTGAGCCGATGTACTGCTTAATGAGGATGTAAAATGATTGTTACACTTGGGAGTATAAAAGTATATAAAAAATAAATGTTTCCATAAAGCTATAAAATAAATATATATGTATTAATGATATGTAATTATAATTTTTTTAGATGGAATTTGTTAGCAATTTCAATTCTGTTAACGACAGTTATGAAAAATTTTATGAAGATCTTTTAAAGAAAGGTAGGTCTTGTACTTTCTGTTACTATTTATGCATTATTAGAAATATATTTTCATATGTAATGAGAAAATGTTTTAGATGCGCAGCTGGAAGATAAAATTAAAAAATTAGGTTTAGAAGGCTTGAAAAATTATCCCAAACTCAAAGAATGCTCTGAGTTTTTACAGGTACATAATATCACAATTGTTTTTAAGCTAAAATAAATATAATCACTTTTCAAGGAATGGCGGGTTGGTGAAGTGAACAAAACCAGTATTCTGACAGCATGTACAGCATACTATAGGAAGAATGCAGAAGATTATATGAAGTACTCTGCCTTGAAGCATGAAGAAAATCGCTTGGACAATAAAATTAACCAAGTCAAAGCTCTGGAAAATTCAGTCGACAGGTGTTATTTAATGCTCATATCTTTTGTATTGTATTTGTTGTTTAATTATTGAAAATGAATTGTCTTGTAGGTCTAATACAATGTTCAAAGTGACATTGAAAAAGCAGTTAGAAGAAGCCACCAAAAATTATTACCCAAGGGAATCCATCATCACCATGCCGGAACCAAATTCCTTGGTAATTTTGATTGCCTTTGTGATATATTGATAACTATATAATTTACAATATTACATATATGTATTTATTTTTCAAGGAACCTTTGCCACATGAATCGCTGATTGAACTGATGGATGAGCTCAAGAAGAAGAAAGAAAAACTTGCTTTGATACAAAAACAAAAAATGAAATATATGGATTTGCCACCAGATTTAAAAGCTGCCAAGGAGAAGTTGAGAGAAGCAAAATTGACTCTGGAAAGTAAAACTGCCTCTTTTGATGAACTAGTCAACAAATATTATTCAAAATAGAGAAGATGTTATGTAAATATTAATTCTATTAGATATTAACTACTGTGATAATTGGGAGAGTAAATAAAAATGATCGATTTCAATTTTTCAATTTTGTATTCATTTTTAAAAATCTTTGTACGCCTTACAACGTTATTGTCAATTGTCGGGTTCTGCATCTAGACCGCTTTGGTATTTAGTTTTGGTGGCTGTATAGGTAGAAAATCCGTAATCGCGTAAGTTGTGGCAAGTTGAACACGTATTGCTTTTCAAACGAGCGGTTGAAAGTTTTTGTTTTCCAGACGAAGCCAAAAATGGGAGTAAAAACGGAAGTTTGCGTTGTACTCGAAAGTAGATTTCAACGGGGTGCCTGAAGTAATGTCTAGTAGTGCTCAAAGGCCAACCTTCCAAACTTCGAAAGTAGTTCACACAATCCATCAGTCAAATGCCATTCATAAGCTCCAGTTTTTCTTTTCAAAAATCATTTAACACAGAAAAACAATCCACCTTTTCCACTCATTTTCTCCCTTCGCAGATTCATCCCAATTTTTCTTTTGAAGACACGAACTTTGTCATTAGCATCGAAATTTGTGATCCTTTTCCCTTGTAAAGAAAGACTCATCTCATTCATTTTCGTGAAAATATCTAATAAAATGACATGCTACTCGGTTTAATTGATAATTTGAACAACTTCCAAAAATTTCTTAAAAGAGGCTCGCATTTGTTTTGCTAGAGCATGTATGTGGAGAACACAATGACTGCTACTGCAATCCTTCGATTTATCTTTTATTTTAGTAGTTACTCCGATCGTTCGGCCAGTCATTTCTTTTGCACCATCTGTGCAACGTCAGTGTAATTAGACCATAGCATTTCGTCAGTTGTAAACAAATCGTCCAACAAACGGAATATTTCGGCATCTTTTGCATTGCAGGAAGTGGTTTGCACAAGAGAAGATCCTCCTCGAAACAACCCGAGTACTCATAACGGGCAAAAGCCAATGAAATAGTCAACACCGCGACGTCAGTTGATTTGTCGATTTGGAGAGAAAATGAATTGTGTTGGATGCGAGAAACCAGCGATTCTTTCACTTTATTTGATAAACTTATAAGTTTTACTGTTTTTCCGAAAAGATACAATATCGTTAATACAAGATTTTATGAGGTTTCCGCGATGGTATGAGCTTTATCTGCCTGTGTCATTCGATTCTTATCAAGTAAGAAACATTTAGTGAGTTTTCATTAACAGTTGTAAGCAAGAGTTTTTATAAAGGAATGGGAAGCAGCCAGTCAGCGCGATTCCTCATGAAAAATTAGTCTTGTCTTTCGGAGATCCCTGAAAATGAAGACGCAATTTCACTGGAAATATTGAACTGTTTGAATGGACTTTTGGCCAAATGACACACACACTTGATAGCCTTAGCAAAATAAGTACGGCCAATAAGCCAATCATTCTTGGTACAGAAGACAAAAGGACAAGAGATAAAAGAAAATCACCTTGAAATAAAAACAACACTCAATTGTGTGTCAACCAAAGGGGCAAATCAAGGAAACTGCCTCAAATGCATTCGTAAAGCAAGTTAGCCAAGCCATGGAGGAAAAAGAAATAGTATCATAACGTAGGGGGTCTTTCATAAAACAATTGTCACCATTAACGCAGAAGCATGGGAAAGGGAATTAACCTTCGACTAACTATATAATATAAATGTTACAAAGTCGAAAAGCCAACTAGGGCTATTAAACAATGATAATGATACTACAACAAATGGGTGGTGAAAGAAATGACCACACATTGGATGAATTCACCAGGCGCAAGAAAAAGAAGTTCTTCAACAACTCAGCCATGAAAACAAAAATCTACCTCTCTCTTAGTAATTAAGAATTAAGGAAAATAATAGATCTTTATGTTGTCATTGTTCAATTAATTACCACCTCAAAAAGACAGACAAAACCATGTAGACTGTCATGAAGTGACAGAAAAATCGGAATGTGTTTTGTGACTGCGAAGCATTAGCCCAGAAACGGTATAGCAACCTCAAAAAGGCAATATTAATGCCCTAAGAAAGAAGAGAAGAATGCTAAACTACCTTAAGATTAGTGCCCTTTTCTTGTTGAGGAATAAAGAAGGTCAATTGAACTATAGCTCTTGTAGGTCGCAGTGGAAGAATGGCAACGTCATCAGTGTCCCCGAAGAAGGCGGAAGAACTCGATTAATAACTGCTTATAGGTTATTAAATAAAAGAGATGTTTTTATCTTTGCAGAAAATGACAAGATAGTCTGTGAAATAGCATAGTGTGAAAAGGGATTGCGAATGTTGTAAAATTTTGCATAGGATCATAGACAAAGAACATTTCACGTTTAAAGTTCTTTAAACTTTACCAGCTCTTGGGATTTAATGGACGGTTGCGCTTGAATGTTCAGCTATTTTATTGAAAAGTTTATTGTATGCAGTATAGATGGTTTCAGTTACTCTTGATCTCTTGTTAACTAATTCAATTTAGTCAGATAATTCAATTTACATTATTTGTACTTCTTTTGCACTGCAATACACTTGCTTAGTCTAATATTTGACAACGAACCAAATCGGTCAATGACCAATAAATGTATACTATTTTCCAATGGCTTCGTGTTTAAAAGAAAATAAAGTTGCTTCAGGGATATTGAAACCAGTGTTGATTGTGTGTTCTATATGGATGTCTCGTACTCTTTATTTTTTTAAATCTGGTAATAGTAGGCAAAACTGTTTCTTATAGTAACTAGAAATATAGTAGGATTATTATCCTTTAATTGTGGACGAGCCAATTTAGCTTAGAACGAGCCACATTTGCATTTTCCCCCTTTTGCCGGAAGATCATCAAAACAGGATGAAATTATTTAGCCATCGTTCTTGATTGAGGCTTAACGCCTATTAACATGGGCCTTATTTGGGAATATGAGTAAAAAATGATAGCCCGGCCTTACTAATAACACCTCGAGAATGAGCCGAAGACGAATTATAGATCGTTTGATATGCGAAGCGCAGAGCTACTGCGTTTAAGCTCGTTGTTGCCTCCTTATAAAGCCCGTCCTCCGAACTCCTCGGCTTCCTTTCACCGCAGACTTAGGGATGTTTAATTTTTTTTTCACGGTCGGCAGAGGGACAAATTGCTCTGATGTTACAAGACACAAGCCAAACATGTGTCAAGACGGACAACTCTCTTTTGTAAAAAACGCGAAGTCGACGTAATAGTTTGCCAACGGTGTCCTTTTCTTTCCTTTTCACCCGTGAAAGAATGAAGTGAAGTTGGAGCATTTTGATAAACTATTTGCCACAAAAAGCGCAAATCTAAGATTAGAGCCAATGTGGCTTGAAAATTCATTCATACGCTATTTATTTTTACCAGACAAGAAGAACGCCCCATGTTACTTATGCCATAAAACCAACATTTCTCATAGTCCTCAACGTGTCCAAGGAAATTTTCGACATATAAAAGAAATTTTGAAATTAAAAAAAAAATTTATTACATTACTTTTTACCATGAAAAAGCAACTTTAGATTTATATTGAGTGAAAATTCAGGAAATTGGGATTCTGGAACACATCTCAATGAAATAAAATCTGAAAAAGAAGATATATCCCTTCCAAAGTTATAATAACATTGGATTTGGATAAAGTCCAGAGGAGCGAATAATGCTCCCAGAGTTAATCCTAGCCGAAAAATGTGTATTTGTTTGTTACTATGACAATTCTTATTTAATTATTAATCTGAAACCCCACTAGGGGTTTTGACGGTCCAGAGTCAGTCGGAATCAGGACGTTGGGTTAGCCAATATTCCACCATCGTACACACTACACATTCATTCTCCGTATACACAAAAGCAAAAACTCAAAGCGATATACATATGTACCAAGTACTATATTCAATAAACAGACGTTTCCTCCAAACCTACCTAATCGGATCTAATTACTCGATGCCGTGCCGAAGCCCAATATTTTCTTATGGGGTGTCATTCCTACTCAATGGGTCCCCTGTTCCGATTTTTGGAGGAAGCATGGTTGTTTTATTGTATATAGTACTGATCATGATTGTTTTGAGTCACCTTGTGTTTATTGAGAGTGAATGCATTTATTAGCGTGAATTTGTATTGTGAAAGGTCCAATGATGGAATATTAGTTGACCCTCAATTAGATTAGTAATTACATTAGAATTTCAAGTACCCCACTACCCTAACTGAGTAAATGCCTTGTAAATAGGAAAGAATTGTGTTTGGATCAGCTGGATTTAGTTGTTTATAGCCCCTGGAGCCCAACCTAGTATGGCCTTAAAGGGTGGTAAGAATTTTTCAATTGAATACAAATTGGTGTAGTTATGTATTTATTAATAAATAAAGGTTTGTGGCTTACTTTACTTAAATTCTTTTATGTTTTTATTGCCTAATTATTTTGTTCACTTACAATTACATAAAATTTAAACGTCGTAAGGCTAAAGGTGGACCATACAGAAGATTTTATCTAAAATTTACAGCACAAAATTGTAATTTTTTGGGTGAGGGGGAACGCAACCACCAAGGGTCATGATTTGTAATATGTTTTATCTTAAAATGATATTTCAACTTTTTAAGCCTACTATTTTGGAGGCGTTTTTTTCTGGAATTTTTTGTATATGTATCTCATTTAATTCAAGCCTTCATATTAATAACTTATCCTACGTAAAAATACAAATCGATTGATAACCTGAAAGATGCAAAATAATGGCAGAAAAATATATTTTAATGAAATCCTTAAATTGGCTTTTTTCTCGGCTTCTAAGGTCCATTGGCAAGTACATTAGAAAATGTGTCTAATATTTTTTGACCTAGTATCATAAAATATTTTTCTTAAATCGGCGATCCCAGATCCTCGTCTTGCAAAACAAGTACTAAAAAATTACAATAAGAATACAAACCAGGACGTTGCGAGCGTTAGTCACAAAGTAAAGTAATAGTAAAACAGTACTATGACAAATAAAATACAGAAAATATCTAAAATGTTTGCAAATCATGTCCAATGAAATTTAAAGCGCATTAATAAACTGGCAAACAGCACAAAAAGTCGATAGCATAGAGCAAAAACCTCTTCACAGAGAGATTAATTTTC